TGTAGTGTTAATTGTATGTTTTGGCCATATTGGGTGAAATGGCCATTGAGTGGCCAAATTTTGTGTTTGGTATGTTTTTGTATGTTTGATTGTCATTCAAGTGTATTTTGGTCTATTGAACTTGGTTCAAGCCTCACAATGGGTTAATAGTATAAGTTATGAGTTTTAGGTACTTGGATGCTCGAAAACCTCTTTAAAAAACTGACTTTTGCATCCGAGTGTCTAAAATTCTCATACGGTGTTAGATTGTAATGAAATGTAGCATTAGTTAGCTTATTGAATAAGCTTCGTGTAGGCACTTCAATCACTCCAATCAGACATTAGATTCGAAAATGGTGCGCATTCGAAGTTCGTCTAGAAAAGCTATCATCAACACCTTGCTATCATGGACACGTGCGCTACAGCGCATTTCACGCAATTCGCGACGCATGGTACAGTGAGAAAACTTGGCTTTTTGTGCCACATGCCGCAACACATAGACCAAAACACTTAAAAATGACATTTTTGGCCATGTTTTGAAGTGGTTTGCTTCCTAAAACTTTTTCATGCTTCCAATGCCTATTTAAAACATTAAGTTTGAGCTCAAATTATCAATTTGAAGGGTTTTTGTAAGATCTCAAATATTTCACAATTATTTTTAAAAGATTATTAGTTTTAACCCTATATGAATAATGTGAGCTTAGGAGCAATCCTTGCTCATAATTATGATTGTTTATTGTGATTGTGTAGTAAATTTTGGTAATGTCAAGGTAGACACTATTGCATTCATTCTCATTAGTTGGCAACTTTATGTACACAACTCTTTCCCTTTGTCTCATTTCCTTTATTTCCCACTAATTCCCCTTTTCTACTTGGTTTTTCCTTATGAGGGGAGAAAAATGGTTAGAAGTACTTAAAATGTCAATAATTTACTGGAGAATGATAGGCCTATACCAGAGGTACAGCCGAAGATTACAAGTGGAACAACAATAAAGGCCTCAGGTTAATGATGCAATTCTAGAAGAATTGCGAGATATGATGAGGAATATTTAGAGAACATACAACACCACGACACTCGGCTCTATAATAGAGGTCGTGGGGAGGAACAAAGGAGACAAAAGGAAGTTTATGAGAGCATATTAGAACCATCTCATGGTTCTGGTAGTTGACCTAGATCGTCTAGGATGAGAGCGGATGAAGATGTTCAAGGGATGGCTATTGATCAAGCATGGAGAACTTTCTCTTGGTTTAACCCTCCAACCTTTAATGGAATTATGAAGGAAGGAGAAGCGAAGAAATGGATAGAGAGAGTTGAGACCATCTTTGAGGTCGTACTGTGCTCTATGGAACAAAAGGTGATTATAGCCATAGTATATCTTGTTGAAAATGCTAAACACTGGTGGAATTTTGTAAGACCAGTAGATGGACGCTAGCTAACATGGGAACAATTCAAGGAAATGTTCTTTGATCATCAATTTCCTCTAGCATTTAAAGATGAGAAAGAGGCCGAGTTTCATGCATTTCGGCAGGGAGATCTTGATGAGGAAGCATTTATTTAGAAGTTTAATCAACTATTAAAATTTTTTACTTATTTGAATGAGACTAATGATAGTGAGTGGAAGGCCAAGAGGCTTTTGGAAAAGATGAGGCCTGAATATAGATAGCAAATTGCTCTGCTAGGAGTAACCACATACATTGACATGTGTAATTGGCTCCAAATTGCAGCAAAAAAAGGGTCAGGAAGTAGAAGCAGAAAAAAGAGATGAGATAGTCATGGGAGGTTCTCGTCCTCCTTAGGCCCTTCTGGAGGAGTCTCTAAGAAGATGGGTCATGGCCCGAGTAGTTCTACAGCATTGAGTAAGAAAAGTTTTATTAAAGGATCACAGACTCAAGGAACATTTCAGAGGGGTGGATCTAGGAGTTTTGGTGTTCCACACCATCCCAACAGGCTTCTAATATGCCTGCCTCGACCTTAAGTACAGCTTGACCACCACCATATGCTAAGTGTGGGCGGACACATCCTGGGAGGTGTTGGGCATGTTTTCAATGTGGGAAACCTGGCCATCTAGCAAGACAATGCCTTGAGGGAAGAGTAGAGATGGAAAAGCAGAGATCTAGCATTCCAGGATGAGTCTGCACACTATCTCAGGAGGAGGCATGAGCGTCATCGAATTTGATAAAAGTATTATTTCTATCTGCAAGCAGAAAATTGAAGCATTATTTAATTCTGATGCTACACATTCATTTATTTCATATGAATGTGTAGAGAGGTTGGGACTTCCTTTGCATAAATTTCCTTATGTGATTAAAGTGTCTACGCCATCTGGGTCATCTGATATGACTAGTAAAGCATGTTTGAATGTAAAAGTGAGGTTTGAAAATTATTCAACCACTCTTGATTTGATCCGGATTCCTATGAAGGGTTTGGACGTGATTATCGATATGGATTAGTTGATGGCAAATAATGGCACCTTGGACTGTGCTAGGAAGATAGTTTTTGTTACCGATACATACTATACCAGCTAATATTCCTAATGAATCTAAGCTCTTATCAGTGGTACAAGTAGAGAAATTGATGCAACAAGGGTGTATGGCTTATATGGTTTTCTTCTCAGTGCATGGGATTTATAATGGAAGTATTGATAAGATTAGGGTAGTGAATGAATTCCCTAAGGTATTTACTGATGATATGTTCGGTTTACCTCTAGAAAGGGAAGTGGAATTCACGATAGACCTAGTAGCAGGAACTGAACCAATCTCAAATGCACCATATTGGATGTCACCAATAGAGTTAGTTGAGTTGAAGAAGTAGATAGAGTAGTTACTTGGGGATCACCTGTGCTCTTTGTTAAAAAAAGGATGGTAGCTTACGGCTCTGTATTGATTATAGACAGTTGAGTAAGGTAATGGTGAAGAACAAATATCCTTTACTAAGGATTGATGATTTGTTAGATCAATTAGTGGGAGCTTCGGTTTTCTTAAAAATTGACCTGAGGTCAGGATACCATCAATTGAGAGTGCGCCTGGAGGATGTGCCTAAGACAGCTTTCTGTACCAGGTATGGGCATTATGAGTTCCTAGTAATGCCATTTGGGTTAACAAATGCGCCTGCAGTTTTTGTGAACTACATGAACTGCATATTTAGGCCTTACATGGATCAGTTTGTAGTGGTATTTATTGATGACATTTTGATATATTTTGAAAATGAGGAGCAGCATCCAAAGCATTCGAGGATTATGCTATAGATTTTAAAGGACAACAAGCTCTATGCCAAGTTTAGCAAGTGTGAGTTCTAGCTACGAGAGGTTTGATTTCTAAGACATGTTATGTCGGCAGAAGGGATTGTGGTGGATCCTCATAAAGTGGATGCAGTGTTAAAATAGGAAAGACCTAGTTCTGTGACTGAAATATGGACTTTTTTGAGACTGGCTAGATATTATCATAGATTTATCCAGGGTTTCTCTCAGATAGCTTCATCATTAACTAGGTTGAACCGAAAAGATCAGTCATTCATTTAGGATGACAAGTGCAAGATCGCATTTCAAAAGTTGAAGGAGAAACTGACTACAGCACTAGTGTTGATTATTCTTAATCCAAGATTGTGATATGAAGTGTATACAGATGCATCTCTAAAGGGTATGGGATATGTGTTGATGCAAGATGAGCGAGTAGTGGCTTATGCCTCTAGAAAATTCAAGCCACATGAAGAGAACTACCCAACCCATGACTTAGAGCTTGCCGCAGTTGTGTTTACACTAAAGATTTGGCGGCATTATTTGTATAGAGCAATGTTCAATGTTTTCAGTGACCATAAGAGCTTGAAATATTTAGTAGATTAGAAGGAACTTAATATAAGGCAAAGAAGGTAGATAGAGTTCTTAAAGGACTATAGCTTTAAAATTAAATACCATTCAGGGAAAGCAAATGTGGTTACAGATGCCTTAAGTCAAAAGTCATTACATGTCGCTTATCTAATAGTGCAAGAGCACAAATTGCTAGAATCCTACTTGGATATTCAGCATGACTCATCAGAATTTACTTTGTGTAGCCTATATTCCACAAAGATTACTAATGAGTTTTGGAGAGAGTTAAGGATAGCACAGCTTGAGGATGAGTATCTATTAAAAATTTAAGAAGATGTGGAGGAAAGGCAAACCACAGACTTTGGGTTCAGTGATGATGGATATGTTGTACATCGAGATTGGGTTTGTTTACTATATGAGGGTGATTTGGGAAAGAAAATTCTAAATGAGGCACATAAGAGTAGATATACAATTCACCCTAGAGCAACTAAGATGTACCAGGATATGAAGCAGTATTGGTGGTGGCCTGGAATGAAAAGGGATGTTATAGATTTTGTGTCTCGGTGTTTAATTTGTCAAAAGGTTAAAATTGAGCATTAAAGACCAGTAGGAACCTTACAACCACTAGAGATACCGAAATGGAAGTAGGATAGTATATCTATAGATTTCATTTTGGGATTACCAAGAACCCAATCTAGTCATGATTTTATCTGGGTGATTGTAGATAGGTTGACAAAGTCAGCCCATTTCTTGGCAGTGCAAATAAGTGATTCATAAGAGAAGTTAGCAAAGATTTACATTCGGGAAGTTGTGCGGTTGCATGAGGTGCCAAAAGATATTGTCCTGATCGACCTGAGGTTCACCTCGATTTTTTGGAAAGTGTTGCAGAGAGCAATGGGTATTGAATTAAGATTTAGTACAGCGTATCATCCACAGACTGATGGACAGACAAAAAGGACTATACAAACTTTAGAGGACATGTTGAGAGCTTGTGCCTTAGAACTGAGAGGCAATTGGGATAGCCATCTTCCTTTGGTTGAGTTTGCCTATAATAATAGTTTTCACTCTAGTATAGGGATGGCTCCCTATAAGGCACTATATGAAAGAAAATGTTGATATCCTCTTTGTTGGATTGAACTAAGTGAGAAAAGCATTATGGGACCTAATATTGTGGATCAGACGACGTAAAAGATTCAAATGATAAGGCAGAAACTTCTAATGGCTCAGAGTAGGCAGAAGAGTTATGCAGATAAACGGCAAAGGCCGTTGGAGTTTGAGGTTGGTGATCATGTTTTTCTAAGAGTTTCACCTGTGATAGGAATCGAGAGGTCAATCAAAGTAAAGAAATTATCTCCTCGATTCATGAATCCATTTGAGATCTTCAGGAAAGTTAGGCCAGTTGCCTACCAAATTGCCCTGCCACCACAATTATTTAGGATTCATGATATTTTTCAAGTTTCTCAACTGAAGAAATATCAACCTGATCTATCTCATATGATTAAACCTAAAGAGGTAGAGCTGCAAGAGAATATGACTTATCGAGTAGAGCCAGAACAAATAGTAGATGTTAAAGATAAGCAATTATAGAACAAGACTATTCGACTGGTTAAGGTGGTGTAGAAAGGAATGGCTCCACACCACCTTAACTTGATCTTGGATATGTGGTAATAGGAAGCTACTTTCTTATTTGGTGAATTTTAGATCAAGCGTTAACTTAATCATAAGGTGTTGAAGTGTGATAAGTTGAGATATTAAGTTTTATGTTGTGATAGAGTTAGAAAGAGATTTAAAGGGATGGTGTGGACAAATTCTAATCTTAACAAGTCTTTTTATTGAGAATATGAGTGAGAAGTGGGAGAATTGGGAGGTTATTGGTAGTTAATGGTGCTTGGTTAATTGAAAATTAACATATAGTACTTGTTGTTGTAGATTGTGGTGTGGGAAGACTTACCTTGACACAAGAAGAAATTTAATACCACGGGTAACCCTTTTAGTAACAAAGTATTAAGATAACTAAATAATTTGCATTGTTTATTACCTTGTATAAGTTATTCTAAGGTTCTTTTCTATAATTTGTTCAGTATATATGTAAAAATTCTTTAAAGGTTAGCTATTTTAAAAAATGAGTGGAGTATTAGTTTATGAAATTCTATATTTTTGAAGCAAATGGTAAGATTTTTTATATTGATTTGGAAAGTTGTTTATGCATGGTCAAGTGGAGATATGTAGTGAAATGTGGCATATTAAAGGGTAGGAGGTCACCCTAGTGGAGATAGTGAAGATTAAGTCCATATGGCATTACTGGTACCTCGGGACACTAGGTGCAGCATTTACTTTCATTAGCGCTTGAAAATGGGTGCGGTGTTGAAGACTTACTCTCCTTAGTACCCAAAAGGGCGCGGAGTTAGAGACTATACTTCTTAGCATTCATAGGATGCGGTGTTGGAGTAACAACACCCCAATTACTCGTAATAGTGGGAAACAGTAGTCCAGAAGTGGTTTAGGACACCTTGGCCGGGTAGTCCTACCATGGATGGTGAGCTTGGGGACCATACATGTGGTTTGATTCTGTGAAATAGCCTACCGATTTGGTTGAAAGTATTGAAGGACTGGATGGTTAGGGATCATGCATACAATTTGTGGTGATCTTATATGATGTGATTATGTTACTTATTTTAATGCTTGTTTATAACTTGGCTTGTTAATCAATAATGTAGATTATCTTAGTTACTAAGATTTTTATTTCACCCTGTGGTTACCATTTTACAGGTGCTACAGTTGATACTAACGGAAGGAATCGGGCAAGGATTTATAAATTTGCTACAGTGAATAGTAATGCCCGATTTTGGTTTGAGTGATGTACATAAACTTGTTATATGATATTATATGTTGCCAACTAGGAATGCATATCATTTTGATTGGTTATACTTGTTTCATACTATGTTGTTGTGTATTTTAGCCCAATATTGTATATGAGGTGAATATGTGGCAATTTTTGTGGTGATGGGCTAAAATGCTAATACAAGTGCAAGGAATGTAATTGTAATATATTATGTGCCAATAGAAGCCAAATAGTGCATGTAGTGTTGATTGTGTGTTTTGGCCATATTGGGTGAAATGGCCATTGAGTGGCCAAATTTTGTGTTTGATATGTTTTTATGTGTTTGGTTGGTCATTCAAGTGTGTTTTGGTCCATTAGACTTAGTTCAAGCCTCACAATAGGTTAATAGTATAAGTTATGAGTTTTGGGTACTTGGATGCTCGAAAACCTCTTTAAAAATTAACTTTTGCATCTGAGTGTCTAAAATTCTCATACAACGTCAGATCATAACGAAACTTATACCATTAGTTAGCTTATTGAATAAGCTTCGTGTAGGTGCTTGAATCACTCCAATCATACATCAGATGTGAAAATGGCGTGTGTTCGAAGTTCGTCCAAAAAGGTTGTCATGACAATATTGCTGTCATGGACACGTGCGCCCCAGTGCATTTTGGCCCTATTTTGAAGTAGTTTGCTTCCCAAAACTTTTCCATACTTCTAATGCCTATTTAAAACATCAAGTTTGAGCTCAAACTATCATTTTGAAGGGTTTTTATAGGTTCCCAAATATTCCACAATTATTTTTAAAAGATTATTAATTTTAACCCCTACATGGATAATGTGAGCTTAGGAGTAATCCTTGCTCCTAATGATGATTGTTTGTTATGATTGTGTAGTGAATTTTGGTAATGTCAAGGTGGACATTACAGCCTCTACTTCGAGCCACTAGTAAAATTCATACCTTTAATTAGGTTTGAAGATGCTCTAGCCTCTTCCTATATAACGTCAAACACATGACCAAGAACTGTAGATCTCTACTCAGTCCCCTCAACTCTACCCTTTGTGCATTGTCTTGCTATGTGTCTTGATTTACCATACTTGTAATAAACCCAACATCTTCCCAGATGAGATCTACCACATATGTTACACTGGGGTGTCCTTTTAGTACTTAGAGTTGGAGCTAGAACATTTGACGCTTGCCTTGAAGACTATGGAGGCCCAATTCGCAGGCCCCTACCTCTCTGCATTGACCCTTTATGCATAGGTCAAGACTGAGATGCTATAACAAATCCTCTTATCCTAGAAGAACTAGAATTGCCTGCACTGAACCCAGTCCTCTTAGAAATTCCACCAGTCAGACCTAAAGGAGATGAAAACCTCCCCATATTGCCTCACCTCCTCTCGCCATCTATCTTTCTGCCATGCCTAGCTACTACTCTCAACTTATGGCACATTTCTTCATAAGCCATCACATTAAGTAGCACTATTTGCTGGTGATACTCAAGCCTCATCTTCTCTAATAACCGCTCAGCTTTCTACTTTATATCACTGCTGTGCTGGAGGTATGTGGAGTAAGCTGATAGGTCATTAAACCTCATTATGAACTCTTCTTCATCTAGTTCTCCCTACTTGAAAGAATGAAACTCCTTTTCCTTCTTAGTTCCGAATGAGACTGGGAAATACTGATCGAAGAATACTTTCTTAAACTCATCCTAGCTCAATCAAATACCACTCAAAGGCCTCACAGATTCCCACCACCTCTTGGCAGCACTCATTAGCTGAATTGTGGCTAGGATAACCTTCTGCTCAGGGGTACAAATTACCACCTCAAATATGGTTTCTAGTCACTCATTCAAAAGTTCTACTTCCCTTTCTCTCATGCTTCTATCAAAATTTGACGGGTTAAACTGAACAAACATCTTCTAAGCACGATCAATAAATGGATCAGTGCTAAGAATCTCTAATCTGCTACTCGAACCTTGAGATAGTCCAGATCTACTATTTGCTTTCTCATGCATCAAAATATTTTGAGCTTCAATCTTTTCTTCTTGCTCTCTACCTCTTAGAATTATATCATGATCCCTAACCGTCTATCTTATGTCTACCACCATATCTCCAAACTCTTCAAGTAGGTCATTGGGTCTATCCATTTATGGCTGAACTGATTAAACTTTCGGCTCCTGCTCCTCCTTAATAATCTATCTAGACATCATAGTTCCAACACAAGTGCCTCTCATACTATACTATTTTCTCCCCTCTTAAGGATGAAAGTAACAAACACAAAGGACATCAAGGAAAGAGTCATGTAATGAACAAGTATAAGTTGCCATATTTCTAAATGAATGCATCAATGATAATTAGGTCCTGAAACTCGAGAAACTTATATCAAAATGTAACCTCTTCCTCTATCTTCCAGATATAGGAGAAGATTAATAGAATTACCCTTTAAACAAGAAATTAGTAATAAAAGAAATTTAGTTCAAAAAGTTGTAGCTAAAGACTTCTTTTGTATAACCATCCAAAATCATACCATATCAGAGAATACATAGTGAAAGAAAATCATATATTTACCTAATATATAGTGGACGTAACCCATGATCACTCTCATCTCAATTGCATGCATTTTCAACACAAAATCAAGTTGGGAATTGGTCCGTGCAATGTGACGTGTAGAATGTGTGCCACAGCATGTGGCACAGAGCCATATGCTCAACCTTTCTATGTCATGCACTATGGTATGTAACACCATGTGCTGTAGTATGCCTATCCGAATTTTTATTGTCATTTTGACAACAAAAAATGGTGAATTTCCAGCATGTGCTATTTTCATATATGTCATCCAATTGGAGTGATTCAAGCACCCATATGTAGCTTAACTCATAAGCAAACTAATAAGATAGGTTTAGACATGATCCAATGGTCCGATCAAAATTTGGACACTTGGGTGCAAAAAGTCACTTTTATGAAAAAAAATTGCATACCCAAGTGCTCAAATCAATTCCTTTCTCTCATTAGACCACATAAGGCCTTGAATCAAGTTCAAAAGGACCTAATACACCTGATTGACCATATTACATCACAATCATACACATTTATTGAAATTTGACCCTTCTATGAGATAGGTCAATATAGCCTTTCCTGACTAACAGAATACCCCCTAGCACTCTTTAGCTTGTAGGTAAACCTTGTACCCACTGTACCTTTATAGGCACAACATATAAACCAAGGCATGATCTGATCCACTAAACCACCTGTGCCCCTTCGACGTGAATCCTGAGTAGTCAAAGCTAACTCCCTCCTAGAGTCAACCTAACTTACTCTCCATGTGAGGGCTACCTTGGCCTAGGTACTCAACTTCACACTTCATATGCCAGATTCCCTCTCCCACTAAGAGGTGTCGAACACTCAATCTACTAGCCACTTTAGTATGCTGAGCCTATAATACGAAAGGCAACTTTGAGTACAGACAGTGAGCCATAGAATATCACAAGACCACATCTCTCCATTGGTGAACTCCCACCGAGATCATACCTCCTACCCTTTTTGTACCTTTCTCGAGTATTGATTACTTCAACACTCAAGGTAGTATAACACTCATAATTCATCCCTTAAGTAATTCCTTAGCCTATCTAATGTACCAAACCTAGTTGCACTCCCCTAAGTGCAACTCTTCATTTTTTATGATCACAATGCATGCTAATAATCTTATTTCTATAAGTAACATCATTATTAAATAGATAGTAAACATAGATGTATTATTATTAAA